CAAAAATATACCACTTCAAAAATATACCACTTTTCCAACCCTCTCTAAGCAGTTTACTAAGTCAGCCTATTGCCCACAACAATCTGGGTCCTCATTTTACCCACCTCGGAAGGATGGAAGGCTGAATCAACCTTGAGCCGGTGAGATTTGAACTGCCGAACTGCAGCTAGCAGTCAGCTGAAGTGGCTGCAGTACTGCACTCCAACCACTGCGCCACCTCGGCGCAGAGATGATTTTGCAGAATAGTTAATATACTTACTGGCTCACTTTGTGATACAATTTAGCAATGCCTTGATGCGTCCAGTCCTTGCCAAGGGTAGGCAAAATATGACCTAGAGTATCTGATCTGCAAAAACAGAAGATATTTCAAACCAAGAAGAAATATACAATAGCAAGCTGTATTTGTGGAATACAGAAAACACGTTAGGCAATTAACGTTAATATACTTGTTGGTCAGCATAATTACTTTAATGACTTCTAGCAATGCAGGAATATATATTTAGAAATATCATTTTTTTCCCCTTTCCAAACAATTATTTTCACTGTATAATGGAGGTGTTGGAAATATTCTAATTTTGACCCTATGGACCCTATAGTATTATTTCCAAATCCTTTCACGACTAAATTATATATTAGAAGCAGCAGTTCTTTTGAGCCACTTTATAACAGAAGCAAATAGCTGGCTTCCCCACTTTGTCTGATGTTTGACAATGGCCCAGTGGTTTTATATGATGCAAAGCAGAGACTGTGCCATCAATGTGTTGCTTGGAGTAGTTTGATCCTCAAGCGAAATGTATATATACATGACAGCATCACACTAAACAGAAAGGATACTTCAAAGGAAAATCTTAATTTCTGCTTCTGTAGGGTTGGCTCTTTCACAAATCATGAAACAGCCAAGCTTTTAATATTTGCTCTTCAGTTTAAAATAAAAAAACATCACTAATGGTTTGTCTTACCAGAAAGAGCAGAATATAGTATTCCCTGAACAGAAATGTGCCATTCTGTCTCTAGCTAAAAAAACTCACCTTGTGATGGTGCCATCAATGTCAGAAATAATGACTTTGTCATCCCAGTTCCATAAATAAATGGTGCCTTCACAGCGACATGTTCCTTGATATTGTGTTGTGACACTAAAAATGACGTCATTGGGACCATTTTTAAGGTTGAGATTTTTCTGTCAAAAANACATTTTGCATAATCCACCATATTTTTATCCAAAATGCTTTAACCTGGGCTTTCTTATTGCTTTTTTTGGAGATGTTTTACTAAAGCTTCTTGGATGGGAAGTGAAACATCTTCAAAGAAAAGCAGGAAAGTCCAGTTGCCTCTTGAAAAAGCACCTTTGGGACAACTGTGATCCAGATGACTGAGAATCTCCATATACCTGCATTAACTAGTTGTCCTAGTTAAATTTCTGGGATTATTGTGCACTAAATTGTTCAAATGTGAATTGATAATGAAATTGCTTTTGCATCCTACATTAGGTTAAAAAGTCATTTGTTATTTTGTGGGCCGGTATAATGTGCAAAACAGGATGGCAGTTTAGCCTTATGAAAGGTCATTGCTGCTCTTCAGCCTCACTTCATTGAGGAATTTGTGAAATGTGAATGGCTTCATCAGTATACATGGAAAGGGAGACCCTGTAACTTCTGGGTTATACAGATTCTTTTCAAGATAATTGCCATATTCTCTGGACTAGATTTTAATGGCGCAAGATGTATTAAATAAATGGGTTAGCACTTAAGCACGTTCCAGTTGAATTTATTTCAGTGGTTATAACAGTAGTATGCTAAATTTAGGAGTTGGAACCAAATTTCCGAATCTGGGAAATTACACCTGAGAGACTTATGAAAGAACCTCTTTGTAGACATTAATTGTGATAAAAGAGATTGTGTCCTATAGTTTAGAGTAACACTGTTCAAGCTATGTATCTTTTCTTTTATGTACACTGAGAGCATATGCACCAAAGACAAATTCCTTATGTGTCCAATCACACTTGGTCAATAAAGAATTCTCTTCTCTTCTATTACATCTTGATATGGTATTTCCTCCAAATATATATATGAAAAAAACCTCGTTGCTTTAAGCACCAGAAGGATCCATGTCCCCCTCCCCTGAATAACTATCAGAGCATTCCTTTTCGAATTTTTAGCCATGCCATTTATTTCCCCCCACTCTTTTATCTTAAAGCTCCAAAAACTATCCTAGAAGAGGCAAAGAGAGCCACTACTTCATTTCCCCGAATCCTTTGCGGTCGACGATCTCGTTTGTGTCCGTCCCGTCCCCCCCTCCCCCGGTTGCTCATTCTATTGGTTCCCGGGATCGACTCGACCTATCGGCTATGATCTTGCTTTGACTTGTTGCCAAGGAAAACTGCAACAGGGTTGCCTAGGTTTCCTAACGCAGCTGCGGCCTGCAGATTTTTCCGAGCCCGAAAGCCTGGCAGGCACCGGGTATGCTTGCGACCCGCGACCGTGAAGGGCTGCGATGGAAAGCGATAAGGTGAGCGGCGGTTCTTATGCAAAGGCGGGAAAGGAGGCGGCGGGGGAGGAGAGGAGACCCTGTTCTTTGCAGCTTGCTCGTGAAGGGCTCCATTTGCCTGGCCTGGGGAGAGGAAGCTGCCTGGCTTTCGCCCCGCAGGTTAGGCAAGGCTAAACAAAAAATAAACATTGCTGTCCCGCGGCGCATCTCTTGCACGTAGTACGTAGCTTGTCCAGCGCATCGCTCCCACCGCGATTCACTTTTTAGTAGGTGGGAGTATCGTGTGAATCGCCCTAAGACCTCTGCTGAACCGTGCATCCTAATCTGTATGTTTGTTTTGATAAACTAGTAATTCCCACAACAATGTGAATTTATTTGCTAAGACTGTACTTCTGTTGTTCTCATCCTTCCTAGTACCTATCTCTTCCCACTTATGACTATAACCATGTTGCTTGTATCTTTAACATTTATATTGTTTTA